TTTTTTTTAATTACTTTTGTATATGTTTCTTCTTGCAGATTAGAGATTTTAATATTGCAAAAAGAGAGGAAGATATTGGCTACTATTCAGGTTATGTGGGTGAGCACTGTACTGTTCTTGTGCTTTGACATTCTTAGTTTCTTCCATCATCTGCTAACAAACAAACCCCTCCATATATTTGAAGGGTCTGCATTTATGGTTGGCAGAGCTTTGACATCTGTTTTTTGGGGATTAGTGGCTGATCGCTATGGTCGAAAGCCTGTTATTATCATGGGCACAATCACAGTGTTAGTGAAAACCACATTCCTTGGAATTTGACATTGATATTTCTAAACAGTTATGGACTTGTGAACTAACTTCTCAGATATGTATTTTCAGGGTTATATTCAACACTCTCTTTGGTCTTAGTGTCAATTTCTGGATGGCTATAGCCACAAGATTTCTCCTTGGAAGTCTAAATGGCTTACTTGGACCAATAAAGGTAAATTTGCATGTCTGTTTCCATTCAACTCTTCATCAACAGTCCATTTTGCTCATTCTCTTGTTATGCCTAAGTTACCACAACCGTATGATGGTTACTTTTTCATTGGCCAGGCATATGCAGTTGAAATTTTCCGAGAAGAATACCAAGCCTTAGGTCTGTCTATTGTGAGTTTTCTTGACCTCTTTAAGCTTTGTGTTCTTAGAAGTTTTTACAGCAGCAGCAACTTTCTAAAATATTGTTGAATTTCAGGTTAGCACAGCATGGGGCATAGGATTGGTTATTGGCCCTGCTCTGGGAGGTTTTCTGGCCCAGGTACTTCTATTCCTTGCTTGTTTTGCACAGAACTATCTCTTCAAAGTTTGATTAGGTACCTTGTGGACTTGGACCTAAGTTACATGTTCCAAACAATGGAACTAAGTTGATATTTTTCTCTGTTCAAATTCTATTTATTTTCTCAACGTGAAAAGTATTCATCTAATATTTTGAATTTCTTTTCCTCAAATTCAGCCAGCAGAGAAGTATCCAAATATATTTTCCAAAGAATCTCTATTTGGAAGGTAAGTTAGTGAGCATTTTAGCAATGAAAGCTTCTTTTAGTAGAGCATTTTCTTAGTTTCTTTTATAATGATATTCCTCATTTCTTGCAGATTTCCATATTTTTTGCCTTGCCTTAGTGTATCAATTTTTGCCATGGGAGTAACCATAGCCAGTTTCTGGCTTCCGGTAAATATCCTATGTAACTTTGTTCCTACATACTTTGTCTTGTATCTTAGACACAAATCTGTGGATTCTGTCGAGTAACTGTGGCAAATACAAATGGTTTGTTTACTAACAACTTGGTGATGCATGTCAACATGTCTCTTTATTCCATTCCTGATTCTGAATTTTCTAATTTTTGCAGGAAACACTGCACAAGCACAGCAAAAACAATAAATCAAGAGATGAACTGTATGATGCTTTGGAAGCTGCACAGGAGTCTTGCACAAAAGAAATAACACAGAAAGATGAAGTCAGAGAACTTGCTTCCAATGAGAGCCTCCTAAAGAATTGGCCATTAATGTCTTCCATTATTATTTACTGCATTTTCTCCCTCCATGATATGGCATACACAGAGGTATGTGTCACATCTAATTTAGTTTGTTCAAGCATGCCAGAGTTCATGTTCCGTTTAGTTAGCTCTCTTCCATGATTACCATAATGAAACCACTCTTTTACCTTACCATAGCTAGCAGTGTTAATATCTGCTTTATATTCAATGTAAATATGCTAGCTGCTTTGCATACTACCTTTTTCCTTTTTCTGATCATCTACTCTTTTATGCAACTGATGTTCCTACTGAAGATATTTTCATTATGGGCGGTCAGTCCCAGAAAGCTTGGTGGTTTGAGCTATTCAACACAAGATGTTGGAGAAATTCTTGCAATCTCAGGTACATACTTACGCATATAATTCAGATATGCAACCCAGAAGATATTTGAATTATAACTGATGACAAGGATTCTTCCATATTTAGGCTTCAGCCTCCTTGTCTTTCAACTTCCTCTGTATCCATATGTGGAGAGGCTTCTTGGACCTGTAAAGTTGTCACGTATTTGTGGTGTAAATTCTCGACACCTTGAAATATTTTGTGTCACTTTCTATATAATTTTACCTTGCCAGCTACTAGTAATTTCTTACTCACTGCATTTTCTCCTCACATTTCTCTCTTCATTACATATTATCTTATTTTCAGGTCTTATCCATACCTCTACTGCAAAGTTACCCTTTCACAGCCATGTTATCTGGGCTTACTCTTAGCTTGTCGATAAATTGTGCCTCTATCTTGAAGAATGTTTTATCAGTAAGCACATGTTCTGGAAATCAAACAGTAGTCCCTTGATTAAGTCTTTTTTGGATTTATCTATCTATTCCTCTAACTACCAAATCTGTGCTGTATGATTAGGAATCCATTGTAACTGGTTTATTCATTCTACAAAACAAAGCTGTGGTACTAAATCTCTCTCTCTCTCTCTGTTTATGTTGTTTGATTTCCTTGTTTACATTTCAATCCAGTCTCTTACGTGATCATTGTTGAGTTAATTTTACTTAATATGGGACAACAGGATCAACACCAAAGAGGAGCTGCTAATGGCATTGCTATGACCGCAATGTCTCTGTTCAAAGCATTTGGTCCGGCTGGAGGAGGTTCTTTGTAAGTTCTATAATGATATTTATAGTTAACCCTCAAGGCTATGGGAAGTCTACTTAGTGCTGTTTTATCCATTTGTTTGCAGATTTTCCTGGGCAGAAAAGCGCCAAGATGCAAGTTTCCTCCCTGGTACATATGCTTTATGTTTCCATCAGTATAAGAATCTGTTGAGTTTCTCTTTGGAATCATTTTCTTTGTTATTGTTGACATTGTGCAATGGTTGAGTCCAGGTGAGCAGATGGTTTTCTTCATCTTGAATGTGGTTGAGGCAATTGGAGTGCTAATGACATTCAAACCATTCCTGGCTCAACGCAACGCATAAATAGCAGATTAGATCTGAGGTTTTCCATGGGAAGATTGAAGACTAACTATCTATGTTGTAGAACTAGACATATCATAGTGTGATTATTATAGTTAAAATTGTTGCCATAATGCACTGTAACTAAACAAGTATATGAAAAATGTGCAAGTAAAAGACTGCTTTGAGGTTTATGGCTCAAACAACTGTACTGTATCAGCAAGAATAGCTATGTCCTAGAGAAATTCATTACCCCAGTCTCTGTTGGATCTTTAATCCGTTGCTGTCTCTCTCTCTCTACATAAGATAATAGATTTGAAGTTTTCCAATTCATTTTTCTGGGCATTAGTTCATCCAAATCAATCTGAAAATAATGAAATTTGCTCAAATATTGTAAGCCAGCAACTTTATGCTAAAATTTTAGGTATAGACAAAAGCTTGTATTTAGATTACACTAACATAACCTATTGATGGAACGATTAAAAGTAATGTTGATGGAATGATTAAAATTGTATTTGAAATCTAGTTTCACATTTTTTTTGTTATCATTTTGGTGACAACATAAAGCTATTAAGCATTAGTCATGCTTTTACTTTTATTTTTTATAAGTTAAAAAATTGAGTCTGATATTTCATAATTTAAACTTCCTTATATTATACAATACCAATCATTAGCTTAAAAAAATTAGCACCTAATATTAGGACAAAACACTGTTTATTTTTAACATAAGAAACTAGTTAAAAAATAAAAATATGATAGTCAAAAACCCAGTGGCCCAATTTGACCATTAAAAAAGGGGACAAAAGCCGGGTAATATGGGCCGCAGGCACTGGCGTAAAAGTGGGCCTAAGGACCATTAAGTTAAGTGGAGATTTTCTTCCGGGTACCCGAGCCCTGACCAGTAAGCCACATGGGTTCTATGAGAACGAAATGCAACTATGCAAGACATGAATTTATTTCGGTGAAAACTGGCAAGTGATAATGGATGTAGTTGTTAGATATGTGGATCCTTTATTGCAGCTTAGTTTCAGCAATTTGGCACCATCAAGAGATTAAGAATTGCTCGTAATAAAATGGTGAGACTTCAATGTCTGGTATATATTTGCCCGTGTAATTTTGCTTAATACCCTGTTTGTTAGCTAACCCTTTATCCCATCTTTTGTTAAATTGGTTGCATTATTGATGCATATTGTGCTTGCATTTTCAGCATTGCAGTTGTTACTGACTTTGTTTCCACCTTTGTCTTTTTATGATTGGGTCTTTGTTACTGACTTTGTTTCCACTACCCTTTATCTGTTTTTTGCGCACCTTTTGCAAGTCCTTCTTGTTCCTCCATAGAAAGAATCCTTGTCATCAACTGTAATTTAAATATCTTTTGGAACTGTTCATCGTGCTAACTGGTGTGGTTCCGTGAGTTCTTTCTCTCTTTCCATTAAAGTTTTATATTCTCAATTCCTCACCCCCCCAACAAAACAAAAATGATAATTATGTTGTCATTTCATTTTGTTTCTGTGCTATAACTTCTTCTGTACATCGTCATTTGTTTTGTTTTGCAAGTTATTCATTTCATTGTACCAAGCATGTAATTGTTAGGAAGTTGCTGTGAAAATTCTTGAGGAGCAAAATTTCTACACGGAGCGCTTTAGGGAGTTTTTAAGAGAGGTACGGTTAAGCTGGTTTCTGCAATCTGATGATGGATGAATGTGGTAGCGATCAAATATCTAGCTCTCCTTCATTAACATTTATGTTTCATTTCCCCCATTTTAATGTCCTTTTTACCCCTAGGTTGCCATCATGAAATCTTTGTGGCATCCTAACATTGTTCGCTTTTTTGGTGCTGTCACTCAACCCCCAAAGTTGCCCATTGTTATGGAATATTCATCAAGGTATTGAGATTATTCACATTTCAATTAAAGTTTATGAGGCCTTCCTAATGCACCTAATATATATGTATGTTCTTCGGATTGCAGAGGCAGCTTGTATAAACTTCTTCAGATGCCAAACACTGCATTTGTACTCAATCTGACGCACGGCTTGAATATGGCTTATGATGTGGTATGCCTTCATGGGTTTATGTTGGAAAAGTAACTTTGTTCTTTATGAATTAGTCTCCAATTGTTTCAGACTATTCATATTTTCATTTATGCTGAGACATTTATTGCTATGTAAAGGCTAGTGGAATGAATTACCTTCATCAGCTTACGCCTCCAATTGTTCACTGAGACTTGAAATCTCCAAACCTTTTAGTGACTGACAACCATACAGTTAAGTTTTGAAACTATTTGTCGAACTTCCACATTGATTTGGTGGTGAACTAGATTTATTATTTACTGCCGTGCTAAATTGAGATGGCGTTTTGTTCTAATTATACCAAATCATGTACATGATATTCCAGGTCTGTAATTTTGGCCTTTCCCGTTCCGAGGCCAACACGTTTCTTTCATCAAAGACAGGTGGTGGAACTGTAAGTTTATTTACACTTAAAAATCACTTGTCATGCTCCTGTATTTGTTGAGGTTGTTTCGTATACTAAACTTTACCATTCTTGTCTTGCTACCAGCCAGACTGGATGGCACCAGAAGTTCTTCGTGATGAACCATCAAATGAGAAATCTCACGTTTACAGCTTTGGAGTGGTTCTATGGGAACTAGTGACTCTACAACAACCTTGGAGCCATTTGAGCCAAGCTCAGGTTGTTTAACTTTTATTTATCTATCTCGCATCACTCTTAATGAAGTTTTGAGAAAAATAATTCTTGCGTCAAAACTCATGCTGTTTTTGCAGGTTGTAGCAGCAATTGGTTTTAAGAATAAAAGACTTAATTGAGATCCGGAGCAGTGTAAACCCGAGTATAGCCTCCCTGATTCAGCTCTGTTGGGCCGAGTAAGGAAACAATTATATTTTTCAACTTAATATTTGTACGAGGTGAAAGTGAGATCTTAGGCAGGAGCCAAAGGACTAAAAACATAACTTGTATGCATGCACTGGTTCTGTCTCTATCAGACTATGACTCTCCACCTCACTCCTGTGTTCTGACGCTAGCTGGACCTTTTCCCTAACTGCAGTGAATCCTCAAGAGGCCTTCTTTTTCCTACGTGATGGAATCATTGCAGCAACTGATCCGGAATTCAACATCCCAAGAACTTCGTGCGCGGACTTGGTGATTGACCTGTGAGTACAAAACCCCAGTAGATATATCTGTGTCTAACTATCCATACATGTAAAAGCTTAACATCTACCTAATTATACTCTCGGCGTTTGCAATCCTGAGTTGCATCTCACAAGTTAATTAATCTATCTCATTAATTGATCATTATGTGTCAATTGCTCTCTCTTCTTTCCTTTCGTTTGCCTCTTTTTTTTTCTTTTTTTTTTCCTTTGTTATAAAGAATTTATATTTTACAATTAAAATTGCACATGTATAATTTAATTTATTAATATATTTTTAATAAAATTATTTTTTATATTATTTTATTAAACATATTTTAATAAATTTATAAGTAAAATTATATTTTTAATACGTAAACAGCCTTTTAAAATATTTTTTCATGTTATAAATAAGTTTAGTTTCATTCTCAAATTTGAAATGATCATATTTTAATCCAAACCTTGAATAATTGTTCTTTTTATAAATAAATAAATTTCATTCCGTAAAACAACTTCATCAAGATTTGAATTAATACTTTTCTTTTTTTCTTTTTTTTTAAAATAAAATCTGAATTTCATATATATACGTTAGTAGCCAGTCTCCGGTTACATGTTAATCCCGAAGGGCTTTTTAAATACGTGCCATTGAGTGCAATTAATATAATTTTTTTAATATTAATTAATATAAAAAATAATAATATTAGACATTAATTTTATTATTTGTATTATATAAATTATTTTAATTAAATAATTAATTAAATACAGATAAATTTTTATTTTTCAATAACAATCAATATTAAAAAATTATTCCTAACGTTTCCTTTGAAGGTATATAACTTAGAAAAACCCAATCCGAAAACAACAAGTAAAAGTGTAAATAAGGATTTCAACTTTACATTTTTTTTATTTAAAAATGTTAATTTTGTTATTTTTTAAATAATTATATTATTTTTTTTATTTAAAAATGTTAATTTTGTTATTTTTTAAATAAGGGTGTTAATTTTTATTTTTTTTTATTTAACGACATCAAATTTCAATTTTTTCTAATTAAAGATGTTTTTAACTTTTTTTTTATTTAAAAATATTAATTTTATCAGTTTGTAAATAAGTATGTCAACTTTACATTTTTTTTATTTAAAAATGTTAATTTTGTTATTTTTTAAATAAAAATATTAATTTTTATTTTTTTTCTATTTAAAGATGTCAACTTTCAACTTTTTTTATTTAAAGATTAATTGGTAGTGATACGACATTAACTAACATATTTTTTAAGTTAAATATCTAAATTGATTTCTCAACTTTTATTTTTTAATCAATTCATCCTTAAACTTAAAAAGTACCAAAAACGTCTTTCAACTTCAATTTTATAAGGGACCAATTTAAATATTTAACCTAAAAAAATATATTAGCTTACGTAAATATCACCCCGATTAACCCTTAAATAAAAAAAATTGAAATTTATCATTTTTAAATAAAAAACTTGAAAGTTAATATTTTTAAATTAAAAAAATTAAAAATTAATATTTTTATTCAAAAAATAATAAATTTAATATTTTTAAATAAAAAAATATAAAATTAAAATTCTTATTTACGCCTTTACTTCGAAAACAACCAAACCAAAGTCTGATACTACTCATACTGTAGGCCAAAAAACACTTTTCATGCTGGGCCTATCAATTTTTTGTCGTCATGCCTATGTTTGTTCAACTTCAAGTACCAATAATTTGAGGGAGATTTGTTGGGGACTGTGCTTCTTCTCTAACAAGTTTTGCATTTTTTCTTTTTCTCTTTTTATTTACATTGAGATGTTTTTATATTAAAATCTTTAAATAAAAAAATTAAAAATTAATAATTTTAATCAAAAATAATAAAATTAATATTTTTAATCAAAAAATAAAAAATTAAAATCTTTATTTGCACATTTAGTTGGAGTGTGTTATACCAAACCCATAGCCAAAGTGACAGGTCATATTGCCATCCAGGTTGCAGACTGCTGCTTTCTTCTGCAGCTGGAAAAAAAAGTTGTACTATTTCATCAAGTAAAAAAAAATTGTAATGAGGCTACACTTTATTGCATCAGTTTCAAAGTCACTTAATAAATGCATTTATTAAAATTTAAATTATAGTATTATTAGTACCTGACCTTAGGTGCACTTCCCTCTCCTACATGGATTTCAAACTTGTTTTATGTTAAAATATTTAAAAGAAAAAATTATATCATTATTATATTATAATTTTTTTATTTTTTACTCTTAAATTATACCTATTTAAATTTTTTTTTAAAGTACTGTATCCCAAGTGATTATAAAGTAAGATACAATGACACATATAATCATCAAATTAATTTTTTTATTAATACTCAAATAAATACTAACTTATTAATTATGTTTTTTACCATAAAAAAAAGTTTTTTTTTTTAAAAGACGCTACATTTATTGGACAAGAAACATTTCCCATTATTTAATGATAATGGGATTTACAACCATTGGATGAGGCACATGACAGCGAACGTGATTAATCGTGTTCTTTATGGAAAGGAAGCCATATTATTTGGTTTTTTTTTGTATTTTATCCGGTATTTGAGGCTTTGCCCAGATTAATTCGGATTTGACTTACATCACGCAATTAAAAATGATGAATGAATCTCTCAACGGGTCCTACTACATATACAAGGTCTTAAATTTAAAATTTTATTTAAACTGAAACAAGTTGCTTACCACTTGATCCAATACCTTGACAGCCATATTTTTTGCGAAAAGAAAGAAGGTGCGAAAACATACCGACGAAAGTGGGTAAGTCCAATGTATATGAATAACATTAATTTAAAGGAATTTTTGAACTTGTACTTTTTTTTAAGTATAAGTTAAATTTTATTAAACATTTGTTTAACCGGTTAAATTTTATTAATTATAAAATTTTTAATTATTTTATATAAATTTTCATATCAAATTTATATTTTTTATAGATTTTGAATATAAATATTATATTATATTTTAATTCTACATTTTATATTTTATTTTAACTGAATTTAATATAAAAATTTATATAAAATTAATTATAAATATTATAATTATTAATTCATATAATTAATAAAATTTAATTTATACCCGTAGAACATAAGTTAGACAAACCTTAATCCAAATAAAGAGATTAATTTTTTTAAAAAATGGTTTGTACAGGTAACATCAGAAATGGTATTAATGTAATGATATACCAGTATATTTGACAATAATAATAAGGTACCTTCTCTTTTTTTTCTTTTTTTCTTTTTTGAACATAAATAAGGTACCTTCTCTTAAAAAAGAAATAAAAAGACAAATAATAAGGTACTTATGTAGTAGATACAGGTACCATGCATATCCAGTAATGATGAAAATTTTGGGAGCTTTTCAGGAGCCGCTGTCTGGTGTTTCTACTGTGCGTAGTTCAAGTGAAAGCCATCGCCATCCTAAGTGGATTAGTGGTTGCTCGAGAGATGGACTTCTTGATAAGGACGGTTGTGGAATCTGATTTCTCCTTTTTTTCCTTTTTTTGTACAGTAAAAATATGGTTAGTTTAATTGTGTTAGTATCTGAAAGCAAACATGAGGGCTCAAACCCGAAACAAGAAGTGATCTCCACCTGCTCTTCATTGGGGAGCGCGGCCCAATTAGTGGGCCGCATGGGGGGAGACCTGATTTCTCTTATTGTGATTCGTTTAATTGCTAATCCTTAGCCAGTTTTTGTCTGTTGTGGGTCCTTTTATTGATACGAGATAATACTAGAAGAATAATTTTTTTTATTTTATATTTTTATATAATTTTTACATATTATTAAATAAATGAATATATTTAATATCATGAATTTTACATGAATTAAAAAATTAATTATTTTAATGATACGTCAAATTATATAAAAAATAAAACAAAAAAATTATATAAAAATTATTTCCTTTTATATAATTAGGCGGATTGCATTAGAGTGGGTTTAACCATATATTTTTTCCTGCATGTTCGGAGAGAATGTAACAAGTTAGCCCATGAATTTGCTGCTGCCGCAGTAGTCCAGCTTTCAGATTCACGCAG